GTGTGAACATAGGGGTTGGGGTATGCAAAGCCCCCACCTAGCTTCCTGGCCCAATGCCTCATTTCTCCAGGCTGCTGACTGCCTGGGAAGGTCCTTCTGATCTTTCTGTCTGACAGGAACATCTCAGTTCCTTGCATGGCTCCTTGTATGGCCCTCTCTGCATCCCAGACATCCTCAGGTCAGGAGCACACTTGGCTTATATACCTGGGAAGTAGAATGACAAAATCACTAGCTTGGGGCAGCAAGGAACTCTGCTGAGGGGAGCCGTGAGATGTTCTAAGAAAGCAGTCCCCAGCAAGGCCTAGCCCCTCCTGTCAGCATGTGAGCCAAGTCAGTCCGGCAGCTGAGCACTGGTTAACAGTTATTTTTGTCTAAAGTAAAACCTCAGTGTTCAGGTTTAATTGCAGCGTTGGCAATTTGAGATAAATAAGTGGGTTTTGGGTTGCTGTTTGGCCACTCAGTCTCTACAAGGTTTACCATCCCTGGTCTAGGACAATGGTGCTACCCAGAGGTGCCTTACTAGAACCTCTTGGAGGTGTTCATGCAAAAATGGTGCCAGTAGGTCATGGGATTTCACACCTCCCTCTGCTCCTGGAAGGATGCAGAACCAACCATGACCTTTGGCAGAGGGGGGGATGCCAGGTGAGCAGAGGCACAGGATAAGCATGCTCCCTGAAGCTGCTGTAGATGGGTGCATGCCAGCCTGGGTGTGCTGTTTCTGTCCCTCCTCGTGTCCACTCACTAATATGCCATATGCCAGGTAAGGTCATTTTGGAAGAGGTCAGAATGTCAGCCCAGAAGGCAATGAGACTGTGCGGAGAAAGCCCTGCTCCCCACACTCCCTCTCTGGGCTCCAGCAGCTGGTGCCCCCAACCACTTGCTGTATGGCTTGATCTCCCCAAGAAGTCGTGGCCTCTGCAGAGCGCTGAAGTCACAGGCTTATTTGGGCTTCAGAGTTGGGACAGAGAGTGGGGGTCCCCTGGGGTAACCCCTCCTGAGAGACGTGTGGGTGTATCATGGAGGGTGTGTTGCCTTTGCATTGCTGTGACAAAATATTTGAGATAAACAACTCGCAGGAACAAAAGGTTTATCTTGGCTTCTGGCTTCAGAGGCTTCAGTCCACGGTCACTTGGCTCCCTAGTTTCTGGGACTGTGTTGGGCCAGAACATCATGGCAGGGAGCATGTGCTAAAGCGGGGCCGCTCCCTTCACAGCAGACAGAAGGCATAGGACAGAGAGCAGGGGCAGGAGAGAGAGTACCACCGTCAAAGGCGCATGCTCCTTAATAGCACGACACTGAGGTGAGTGCCCTCTTGACGCAGTCGCCTCTCAAGGCCCCGCCATTGCACACTGCTGCACTGGGAACCAAGCTCTCTGCGTTGTGGGGGCCAATGCCAGCATTATAGGTCAGACCAGAACAGAGGGTCTCCTTGGTCAGTGTGGGGCCAGAGCAGAGGGATTTCAATGCCAGCCAGTGGGCAGAGCCGGAGCGGTGAGGATGCCCTCACCCTAGTCCCTGGGGGCAGAGCCACAGCAGTGCTACGTCTGTCCCGCCTTGACGCGAGTTCTCACTCACACTTCTCATTCGCGCAGTGGCCCTGCCGCCCGAGAAGACCGACGGCCTGGGCAGTGCAGATGAGAAGAGGATGGAGAAAGCCACTGACTCTTGCCCGGCCTCTAAGAAACAGCTGAAATTGGAAGTAAGTTTCCTTTCGTGGTGCTGGGCCCTGAGGATACGAGGTGGGTTCTCCTTTGTCTGTGGTACTTGGCCGGGAAGGAAGCTGCGGCCTGTTCAGATGGGAGGGCCCTTTTTCTTGCGTAAACAGAGGTTCCTCCTGCAGCATGTGGGGCCACTGAGGCCCAGCACAGGTTGTGAGGGCTCGGCGTTGCCCGCCTTTCTGAGCTCGGCACTGGCCGCTCCAGAGCATCGGCCCAGGAGGCTGAGGAGGGTATGAGAGTGGAAACAGGACTCCAGCCCTGATTCAGCGGTCATCTCTCTGGCCTCAGTTTCCTTGGTGAAGTGCTCCAGCTCCAGAGGCTGTCTGGGACACGTGGGCCCTCTCACATGGGGTTGGTGCAGGAGGTCTGGGGTAGGTCCCTGACTGGCTGTGCCTCAGTTTCCCCATGTGGTCAGCACAAGGGACCTAGCCTCCCAGAGCTAATGGTCTGTCTGACCTGTCCTTGGCCAACCTGAACGGTGGACTGAGCTCTTCTGTTCACTGAGCACAGTGTCAGATACTGAGAGCTGGACCCAGGGGAGTATGCTGACATCTCTCCACGCTCTCTGCTTTCCTTCCTGAGGCCATCGATCATAGCTCTGGTGTCAGCACAGCAGCTGTGACTCTAGGGCCAGCCATCCCCTTGCCACTACACTTCTCGCTCAGGTAGAGTGCTGGAGAGGGTGCGCGGTGCAGTCAGTAAGGCCTGTGTCAATGGCACTGTGGAGAACTAGCACAGGCCCTGCCCTCATAGAGCAGGTGGTGAGGGGACAGAGGAGTGACCTAGGCCCAGCACCTGCACAGTGCCAAAGTGGGGACCTGTGATCAGGGACATAGTCACTGAGCCAGGAGAGTGGGGTGCAGGGTAGTGGACGCTAGCAGTTCTGAATGTAGTGTTTGGGAGGGCACCGCTGCAGGCCAGGATGAGGCAGGCAACGTGGGGGTGGAGCACAGGAGCAGAAGTTGGGGGGCACAGGGAGCCTTTGGGACAGGAGAGCACTCTGGCAGAGGGAGCAGCAGGGGCAAAGGCTGGAGGTTGGGTGGCATGGGAATCACAGCTGCATTGCCTTCCTGTACAGAGGTGGGCACCGTGGGGAAAGAGGGAATGGCCTTGACAAGGGTCCTGCCTGCAGGAGCCGCGGGGGCACAGCCAGTGTCTAGTTGAGGGCCTAGGGATTCCCATGTTCTCTGGGGGCCAGCCCTGTGCTGAGCTCACTGGGTCCCTGCAGGGTCTTCTGAGAGCCTGGCAGAGCCTGCCAAGCCCAGCAGAGGGAAGGCCAGGCCCAGGCATCTGGCCCTGGAAGCCTCACTGTGCCTGTTTGTGGATGGCTGGCCGAGTCCTGGGATTAAGCCATACCTGGCCTGGGGGGAAGATACTTAAGAGGCCCAGGTGGGTAGGGTGGAGGCTGAGGAGACCCAAACTCTGCAGAGGTAGGTGGGTATAGTTACTCATTTTTGTTTCTGAACTTCATACCCAAGCCATCTTGGAAACAGGTGAGTACTCTTGGTGAGTGTGTAGGGATGTATGTATGGGGGGGTGCGGGCACAGGTGTGTATGGGTGTGTGTGTAAGGGCACATGTGTGGAGCATATGTGAGGGAGTGTGTCTAGGGGTACACGTGGACATGGGTGTAGGGCTGTGTGCATGGAAGGGTGTGAGCAGAGCACCACATGAAAGGTCTCAGAGAGCAGAGCGAGCACTTGGCAGGTATCAGACAGCCCTGTCACAACTGAGGGAAGCCAGCTTTGAACTCACCGTGGGTCACCTGAGAACTGCTGGTGGGAACCAGCTCAAAGCTTCAGGAGCCCAGGACAGGTACATGGTGCTCTGCACACTCCCGCCACCCCTCAGGGCCTTGACCTGCTGACTGAGGGCGGAGCAGCCCTGTGTGGGGCCAGCCAGGATGCCGGCTTCTAAATGGCAGAAGAGTTGGGATGAAGCAAGACAGGGAGTGGGGTGGTCTGGGAACATCCAGTCCTGTTCATAGAGTTTTGGGGTCTTGAACGTCTTTCCTCAAATGGCCATCCTGTCCTCTAGAACTGTTCATGAGGTGTTCGGCCAGTGTGAGTACAAGCTTGGGTGACAGCACCCATTTCCAGTGCAGATTCCCAGGTTAGACAGGACTGGTCGCTGTGAGTAATAATGAAATTATTGTTGGATTAGCAAGCTCTTCTGTGCCCCAGACAGTGCGCCTGGCACTCAGCTTATGTAGACCATGCTTCTTGTCTCAGGCTCCCCCAACATAGCCCCTCAGACAAGGACATGGGTGCGTATAAGTGTTTGGGAGGATCCCAGAGAGCAGGGAGCAGGAGCAGGAGGGAAGGGGAGCCAGTGAAGGATGAGAGGACATGTGGGTTACCGATACACTGGCAGCTGGGGCTCCATCCCTCTGGGATCCTCCGAGGAGCCCCATAGAATGTGCTCAGGATTTGTTCCACAGAGGGGTCCCTAAGAAGATTTGGCATTTGTTCACTGACTCCTGTCCTTCCCTTGTCCAGGTTGCCTCTGGCCTTTGGGTCCCTGGCTCCTGGGAGCTACCCTTGGGCAGAGAAACAGGGTGCTTGATGTGGGAGGTAGGGATATACCTACCACCGCTGCAGGGAAACTGCCTGGGGGAGAACATTTTAATCTTCCCTGAAATTTTATGGGATAGAGACTGCCATTTTCTGTAATTCATACAAGGAGAAACTGAGGCACCAAGAAACCTCAGGGTCTCACAGCTGTAGAGGGCTGAGCAGGGGCTGAACCCTGGGTGGACTGGAATTTCAGCTTTTTATGCCCATCCCTCTTTGCCTTCAGTTTGTGTCCATCCCTGTGCCTTCAGTTTAGTGGTTTTCCCATCCTGGATTCCTAGGTTGCTGCGCCCTGTTGCTCTCCATCAGCTTCTGGTTCTTGATCTGGGTTTAGCCTTCCGGGGGCTCCAGAGCCTCCTCTCTGTCCCCTGAGACTCCTTTGTCTCTGAAAACCCAGAGACTGCTGGTGCCCACTGGCTGCTCATATCTTGGTCACTGCTTCTCCCTCCTTCAGTTCTTGGAGGGCAGAGCGCAGGGGCTGCCCCATGGCCTGGCCTCAAGGTCCAGGCACCCACCAGCCCTCAGTCAGTTTTTCAGCTAATAAGTGACCAGCCCCACCTGTGTGTGTGTCCAGGAGCTACAGTGCGATGTGTCCGTGGAGGAGGACAGCCGGCAGGAGTGGACCTTCACCCTGTATGACTTTGACAACAATGGCAAGGTCACCCGAGAGGTGAGTGCACCTGATTGGCTTCCTGACACGCCAGGCCCTCAGGCACAGGAACCCAGGTCAATGCGCTCTTCTGTCAGCTCCTGTGGGAAGACTGTTAAAGGGAGGGGGCAGGGCAGAGCTCCTGGGAGACATGCGGGTGCATCCTGGAGCTACAGAGAGAGGGGAGAGGTGATGGGAAAGGGCAGCCGGGCTCCCCTGTGCTCAGTTGGGCAGCAGAGTCTCACCCTGCTTCCTTCTCTCTAAAGGTAGGGCCTGAGTACCAAGGCAATGGATATCTCCTGCCATTGGCACAGGAGCAAGCACTCCCATCGGTGGCTTCTGCAGGCTTCTGCGGGCCCCATCGGTGGCTCTTCAGTCACAGCTGTAGTCATGGCCTTGACCCCAGGCTGGTCTTCCTCATCTCTGAAGGCTGCATCTCTCTTCCCCTTGAAGCCCTCCTCCCACAACTTACGTCCCGCTGAGTTCCTGTCACTTTTTCTCCATGCCCTTGTCTTTGCAAATTGAGCAGTTCTTATGTACCAGGCCCAAGGACACAGAGGGAACAGACTAGTTCCTTGTCTTATGGTTCTGCCATCTGATGCAGGAGACAGAAGACAATTATAGGACAACCCTAAGCTGTGATGTGTTCAGTGGAAAAATAACCAGGGTGGCATGAGAGTCCACTGGAGTATCCTGACAGGCTTCCTGGAGGAGGCGGCCTAGCATGAGAGCTGAGCCATGCAGTGTGCAGAGCTGGACAGAGCAGGCACCTAGAGCAGGGAGGGAGGTGGTATGGTGCCTGCCTGCAGCAGTGCCACAGCCGTAGCAAGGCCAGTTCTCCTGGCTTTGGAGGCCTGGTGAGTGACCTGGAGTTGATTGTAGGTGCTAAGGGAAGGTGCTAAGGTTCAGTATCATTCCTCTGCTCCCATGTCTCTTCCCCTGTCACCATCTGGCATCCTCTCCCTCCCAAGGGGCCCTCATGTGCAGGAGAGAGACCTGCTACATATCTGGTGCCCTGTGCACCTGCATGGAGGTCTGTGATCTTCACTCCCGAGTCCCACACCTGCCTCTTGTCCACCGTTTGGACCTCCAGGTGTCCCAGAGACCTTGGAGCTTTGCTCTCATCCGTTATGCTGGGCCAGAGCCAGCATTTGCCGCTCTGTGATTAGTGCAGGTGCTGCCTTTATGCTACCAGAGGAGAGACCCAGGTTGTAAAGGCCACTTTCTCCTCAGTCTGTGGTGTGAGGGACATTAGAACAGTTTGGAAGAGGAAGCTGCAACTGTAACCACTCAGGATTCTTTATCACATAAGAGACAGAAGCACAGCTCTGCTGCTGTAAGTAGTAATGACAGAAAGGAATACATTGGCTTGTGTACCTGCACCTCAGTCTGGGGGCGCTGACATCTGGTACAGCTGGGTCCATGGGCTCAGTGTCTCCGGGACAAGGTGCTCTTCACAGCTTTTTCTTTGTGGTCCCTTTTCATCATGCAGCCTCTCCCCTGGCAGTAGCAAGATGATCACTGCCGGTTTTGACTCGTGTTCCACCAGCTCCCCACACTCAGAAGGTCACTTATCACCTGCTACCAAATCTCACCTGCTCCTCCGACGTCCAGGCCGGGCCTCTCAGGGTGCAGTAGGATCTCCGTTCCTGGTGACATGTGAGGTGGTGAAGATGACTCCGCTCACAGCTGCCTTCTTCATGCCCTCCTGGGTCCGCAGATGCTGAGGAGCCTCACGTGTGTGTGCCCCCCGCCTCAGAGACCCTGTGGAGACCCGTGGGCAGATGCAGCTTGAGGATTTTGCATCCTGCATCCTCCTTGATTGCTTTGGTGATGATAGTGAGGAAAGAAGCCTTTCAGAGGGAGGAGGCCCAACCTGGCCCTAGAGAGAGTGTTTTCTGGATTGTTTTTTCCTCTCACAGAGGGGTAGGAGGTTGGCTTGGAGTCTTGGAGGACCCAGCCTTTGTTTCCCTCATCTGTTCTTAGCCCCACAGCCACTTCTCAAATTTAGCTATCGATACCATTCCCTCCATCATTTCTGGCTATGAGCACACAGTGTGTGTGTGCTGGGGCAGGTAGGCACCCACTTCACTGTGTCAGCAGCCCAAGGCTGGTGTGTAGGCCGAGTCTTCAACTCAGTTCATTTTGTGAGAGTCTGCTCATACAGGAAGTACTTCTGGGCCCCTGTGTTCACTTTCTGTTACCTAACAAATACTACCAAGATAGCCTGTTTACAGAGAAGAGGTCTACTGTGGCTCACAATCTGGGTTGCCGCTGTTGCCGCTGGGGTGAGGTGCACATCACAGCAGGACTGTGTAGCAGAGCAAAACTGTTCACCTCATGATCTGGAGGTGAAAAAGAGTTAGGAAGAGACTAGGGTTCCACAGTCCCCTTTGGGTGACCTGAAGACCTCCCATGACACCCCTCTGCCTCAAGGCTCTACCATCTTCCAGCAGTGCCTCCCCGGGGACCAAGCCTTTACCAGGTGGACCTTTGTGGGAACATTCAAGATGCAAACCATAGCAGCCCCTGCTCGCGTGTGCCTGGTCCTCTGCAATCAGTGAGCTTGGTTTTCACACAGGTTTTGCCAGAGCATGTGTGTCGCTTGGTCCTGAATCAGCCAGGGCCTTCTAAGGGGTGTGAAGCCTAAGGGGTGTGCTGTTGGTGGACTCCAGTTGCTCATCTGTCTAATGCCACTTCCTTCAGGGGCTTCCCAGAATGGTAAGAGTGGGAAACGTGGCTGTGCAGAGCTGCAGGAAAGGAAAAGAGGGAGAAGAGGCATCTGCAGGGCTCACCAGAAGAGCCGGGATAATCAAGCCAGGAGCAAGCCACTGGGACCTGGGTCTCAGTCTGGTGCCCCCTCCTACCAGTCCAATCTGGCCCCCAACTTTTCTAGTCTGGTCCCTCAGAAGTTTTGTCAAGATTTAAATTAGATGTCAGTACCAGCGATTATGATTTCACAGAAGATTCTGGAGTTTTGGCTTCTCTGAGTTAACCCTCAGCCTGCAGTCAGAGGACAGTCAGCTGAGCTGTGTGGCTACCACCTGCCATGGGCCAGTATGTACCTAGAACCCTCCAACCTGCTCCCCACACCTGCCTGCATGGCAACACTGGGGTCACCTCTGCTCCTCAGCTCCAGAAGGTAAAGGGAGGGCTGAGTCTGAGCCTAGGAAGAATTGCCAGGCAGGAAACTATCCATGAACCTGGTGGAGAGAGAGAGAAAATATCTTTCCCAGAAGTTTCAGTGCCACTTAAAGTAGGAAGCTGCACCTCAGATCAGTGACCTGAACAGATTCTTACCCCAGTCAGAAGACTGAGAACCCCTGCTCTGGTGTGGGGGTCATTGAGGCCCCAGAGCAGGTGAGATGCAGCCAGGTTCTCACAGACCAGTTCATCTCGACACCGTCCTAGTCAGCTCCACATCCTGAAACTGCCGAAGCATTCTGGAAATTCTGAAGGCTGGCGTCCAAGGTGGACACAGACGCAGATTTGGCTCCTGAGAAGGCTCTCTTCCTGTCTGGCAGATGGGTGCCTCCCTGTGTCTTGTGGTTAGGGAAGGAGCTGGGGTGTCTTCCTCTTTTAATAGGGACACCAGCCTGATGAGATGCAGACCCACCTCTGTGCCTCATTTAACCTTAACTACCTCCCCTCCAGCTATAGCCAGCTTAGGACCTCAGCACCAGCATTGGGAAGGAGTGTAATTCCAGCCATAGCAGAGACATGCCTACTTTTCCAGTTCCCACACAGGAGGTGCTTATGAGACTCAAGGCAGACACCGCTGGTACCCCACCTCATATTCTTTGGGTCTGCCACTGAATTCACCTGTTGCTCTGATGGACAGTGACCCCATAATCCCTTTCTGGTGCAGGAATGTGGCTCAGCCCCTAAATGTACAGGGTATAGCATCCCCAGGGCTCCTCTCTGCTGGTGTGGGATGGGCTGATTTGTAAATCCCCCATATTTGATGAGGCTGCCAAGGCAGGTTCCACAGTGGCCCTCAAAGGGTCTCAGTGCCACCGAACCCTTGTGGCCCATGACCATAACCTTTCTGAGTTTTTCCCTCTTGGCTCCCCTGCTCCCTCACACCTGCTTCTTAGGATCTCCTCCCAAAAACTCCTACATCCAACTCTTTCCTTAAGCCCTGATTTTGGTCAGAGCAGGATTTCAGCCCATCTGGATGAGCCCTCAGTTAGACCCTGCCTGATATGTTGGAAATGCTCTGTGACTGCAGCTCAGGGTGGGTTTCCTCTCCTCGGCCCCTATGCAGGACATCACCAGCTTGCTGCACACCATCTATGAGGTGGTCGACTCCTCTGTGAACCACTCCCCGACATCGAGCAAGACGCTGCGGGTGAAGCTCACCGTGGCCCCGGATGGGAGCCAGAGCAAGAGGAACGCCCTTCTCAATCAGGCTGGTGAGGGCTATGGGCCCTAGGTGGTGCCCAAGCGCTTCAGCAGGGCCTTGGAGGAGTAGGGCTGGGAGAGAGCAGAAAAGGAATACCAGATGGCAGGCCAGCAAAGGCAGGGAAGTGGGCATGGTGTGGCCAGCAGCCACAGTGAAGGCCTGTGTTTGGGGGGTGGGTGGGGGACAGGGCCTTGAAGGCCAGCTATGGATTGGGAGGGGGTTGACAAGTAGGCAGGAGCCGGCAGCTCACTGATGATTTTTGTGCTTGTCGGGCGGAGCTCAGACTTGCAGAGTGTGAGGCCCAGAGCGGAGACCAAGCCTGCTGAGGAGCTGCGAAGCTGGGAGAAGAAGCAGCGAGCCCCACTCAGGTATGGCAGGCACAGGCAAAGGCAGCAGCCTGGTATCTGCAAGCACCAGCTGTGCACTTGCTTCTGAAGGAGTATTAGCAGGAGGCTCTATGTGGGGTCTCTTCAGGGGACCAATGATTTCAGATGCACAGATTCACAAATCAAATTAAATTTTTAAAAATAACCAGTTGTAGGTTTCCATCCCATCCCCCACTCCCCACTCCCTTGAAAAAATTTTAGGCTGGCTGTGATCTGGATTCAGCTTTTGCTGGGTTATCCTGTGCACGTATCCTGCATTACAGGCAGGGTCTGGGCAGCGCCCTGGGCCCCACATAGGGTGTTTCTGCTGGGGGATGTGTGCATATTCACCCAGTGAGACAAAGACCTTAGACCAGAGGTACGTATATTATTTTTCTCTTAAGACAAATGATGTTAATATGTGAGGTTTTTTTTCTAAACTAAAACCTCAGTAGTCAGGTTTAGTTGCAGTGTTGGCACTTGATGATAAATAAGTGGGTTTTGGGTTGCAGATTGGCACTCGGTCTCTAAAAGGTTCGCTGTCACTGCCCTACACATTCGCCATCCTCTTGGGTGGCCTGGCTGTCCAGAAGTTACAAAAATCCTGTTTTCAGGATTTGGGGTTTCAGAGTTGTAGCAAGAGCTTGTGGGCATCTAGTGCCTGTCACCTCTTATCACTTCTCTACCTGCTGGGGTGCAGCAGGGCTCTTTAGAGGAAAGTCCTGAGAGATTGAGGAACACAGTGAAGCACGTCTGCGGCTGCATTCACACCTGGTGAGCAAGCAGTGAGGAAACCCCTGGATCTAGGCAGAGGCAGAGCTCATTGTGGGTGGGCTGAGGTCTCCAGGCTGTCGGAGCAGGGCTGAGGCCTGTGGAAGTCGGAGAGGTGGTGCAGATTGTAGATGTCTCTGAAAGGGGTAGGGAGTCCTGAGTCCTTCAGGAGAGAAGGAAGGCTCTACCCCACCCCCGCCCCGCCCCATGCATGTGCAGAAGCAAGGTCTATTCTGGGCTTTGGGGAAAGTCATAGAGCTGCCAACCTCGATTCCAACCATTTATGGGTTTTCTGCCCACCTGCCCTGGGAGCTGGGCTGGGTTAGGTCTGTAATGGGCACGTGTGGTTTGAAGCCTGGTTTTTGAGCATTCTTGCATTATGACCAATAATCTGTCATCTTTGTTTTGGGTCTGTTCAGAGTGAAGTTCCTGTTTTCACCTCTCAGAAGTGCCAGGGAGGCCAGGCAGTGGGCTGTCTTTGTGGGCAGGGGGGACATAGAGGCATGGACTGAAGAGATGTTTATTCCTCCTCCCAAGGAGAAGGATGCTTATTCCTACCCTCCCAAGACCTAGAAGGGAATGAGTGGAGGCCAAGCGTTTGCCCTGCTGGCTTCCCCGCAGCCTGTGGGGCTGCCCCACTGGTGGCCAAGCCTGCCCACACACTTGCCTTCCCTGCTACAGGTTCCAGGGCGACAGCCGCCTGGAGCAGTCTGGCTGCTACCACCACTGTGTGGACGAGAACATCGAGAGGAGAAACCACTACTTAGACCTCGCAGGGATAGAAAACTACACATCCCAGTTTGGGCCTGGTAAGGGACTCTCCCTGAGGACAGCTGGAGAGGGCTAGGGCTGGACAGGCCGGACTAACTGTACCTGGTGTGGTAACCCTTCCCCTGGGCTAAGCAAAGGTGTGGCTTTTAATTTTACAGACTCTACTGGAGGAGGTGACATTTTTAAATGTTTTCAAAATTAAAATAATACATGCACAGTGTTGAACAAAATCAAATAGTATCCAAGGGCTTGGGATATAATGAAATGAGCAGTTTCCTGCCCCATCCCACCCCACCCCACTCTTCCCTAGGTGGCCACTCTGACCACTCACAGCTGTTGCATCCAGGGAAGTGCTGCTCTGTGAGCCTACCACATCTACAGACTCTTGCTGAATCTCACTCCCCCAGCTCCTTCCCCTCCTATGTTGAATTCTCTGTGTCATAGAATTCCTCTTGCCCACAGCCCTTAGTTATCAGTGCTCTGGCAATGTCTCTCTTTCGCAGAGAATTATTTCTGAAGACCTACCATAGACCCCCAGTTCTTCCTGTTAGCAGACAGGAGCTGTCCATCCTAGAGAGCGTTCAAAGGTAGTGAGCAAGTCACAATGGGGCATGGCTCTGACAAAGAGCAGCTGGTGTTATCAGTCTTGGTGAACTGGGGGCAGGGTGACTTCTGAGGTTCAGCCCCAACACACAGAAGGTGCTCATTAAATGTCTGTTGATTTGGTTCTAGGCTCCCCTTCAGTGGCCCAGAAGTCAGAACTGCCCCCCCGCACCTCCAATCCCACTCGATCTCGCTCCCACGAGCCAGAAGCCATCCACGTCCCACACCGGAAGCCCCAAGGTGCGGATCCAGGTTCCTTCCACTTCCTTGACACCCCATTCACCAAGGTCTCAGAGCTCCAGCAGCGGCTCCGGGGTACCCAGGATGGGAGCAAGCACTTTGTGAGGTCCCCTAAAGCCCAGGGCAAGAGCATGGGTGTGGGCCACATGGCCAGAGGGGCCAGAAGCAAACCTCCTCTGGCACCCGCCGTCCCTGCCGTGTCCCCCTCTGCCCACCTGGGCAGCAGCCCAGCCCTTCTCCCCAGCCTGGCGCCTCTTGGGCACAAGAAGCACAAGCACCGAGCCAAGGAGAGCCAGCCGGGCTGCCGGGGCCTGCAGGCACCACTGGCTGCTGGGAGCACCGTCTTGGGACGGGAGCAGGTGAGGGAGCTGCCCGCTGTGGTGGTGTACGAGAGCCAGGCCGGGCAGGCGGTCCAGAGACACGAGCACCACCACCATCATGAACATCACCACCATTACCACCACTTCTACCAGACCTAGAGCCTCCCACAGGGCCTTCCGCCATATGAAGGACCCTTCCCAGACGCCCCAAGGCATTATTATTCTATTAATTATTGTTATTATGACGATTATTGTTATTAATAATTATTGTTACTCCACTAATATTTAGCTAGCCTTCATGTAGGAGATATATGGAAACACAGAACTAAACTTTAATTTATATGTTGTGGGGATTGTGTAACTTACCTGAGAACTGACTCTGGGTTGGGACTGCAGCCACGGGAGCCCTCGGCCCCCACTCTGCCCTCCAGTCTCTTCCAGGAGAACCCCCTTCTCCCCGCCCAGCTTCGAGACCCTGAAATCTCCAATAAGACAAACAGCTGCTACCTCTTAGTTACTCTGATTCGGTTTTGCCCTTAACTGATTGACTTGTGCTACCAGGGATTTCCGTGGACTGCAGTGTGCAACCTCTTTTGCTGTTGTTTTTATGTCCCAAACTCAGAACCTTAGCTGTCCTTTCTGGAGTCAACTTTCACGCCTTTCCAGGGGGACTGTGCTCTTGCCTCAAACCAGCCCCATCTTTTTTGCCACATGCAACATAAAAATACACTTCTTCTCCTTCTTCCCCTCCTTCTTCTCTCTTCTTTCAAAGATGCACACATATTTAAGGACTGTCCCCATAACCATCCTTCTCATTTTGGAAACCACTAGAGGAAACCAACCTCATAAACCAGCAGGGTTTTCCAAGATCAAGCAAGTGTGTGGTGTTGGTTGATGGAGGATGTGAAAATGTGGTGTTTTGCCATTAGCAGACATGTACCTGTGTGGTTCTTGACAGCTTTCTGTACCTTAGGGAGATGCCACTGCCTGTGTCTCTGTACCTTTTCATAAATACACTCTCAGGTATCTCTGCTGTTGTGCAGGACCAGTGGTCTGCTTCTCAGGTGTTTCCTGAGCCCAAGCGTGACCCTGTGTGCTTGTTGATGGGGCCGGTGTCCATCAGGTCGGGCAAATAGCCACTTGCCTCTCCTCAGAGGTCCTTTCTCAGGGCTTGGTGTCTACAGATTTGGGAGAGACCTGCCAGGGTGCAGAAGCTCAGAGGGAAGTGGGGACAGTGGCTGGAGTTGGGATCCTGAGGCACTGTCCTCCCCAGAGTAGGGTTTCATTGGCCAGACTAGGAAAAAGCCCACTGTTATCCAGTTTAGGTCTCTCCATAAAGCAGATCCCATACTCACACTGAGTGAATTGGGAGAGTGGAACAAATGGGTCATTGACAAAGTGAGTGCAGAACCTGGGGCGCGGCCATCTTCCAGACAGGGTCGGGTGTGGGGGACATCTGAAGGAGCCATGATCTTTGCTCAAGGGATGCAGCCAGCTATGGGGACCCTCCAGGGAGACAAACATCCTGGCCCTTCCTCTCCACTGAGTCCTGGTCAGCTGCCATTGGCTGAAGACACTGGGAGCCAGGGGGCCAGGAAGCTTGGCAGTGTAGGTCTTGAAAGCAGACAGTGGATCCGAACAGCAGCTGCCCTCCTTTGTGCTGCTCTGTCCCCCGACTGGGACCCTCGAGTTAGATTAACGTAGTTAGCAAGCAGCTATTTCTGAAGGTAGCAGGCTTCAGTCGTTATATCCTGTGAATGACATCAATTCAGTCCTCGGGACACCCCTACAAGGTGGGCCGGAAGCTCAGGGAGGGATTCTTTTGAGAGAGACCACACAAGAGGAAGCAGTGCTAGGATTCTAGTCTCCTGTAGGATCCCTTAACCACTGAATAGGGTGTAACCACTGGGTTTGGACTCCCCTGGTCAGTCAGGATCCACTTCAGATGAGGTGAATATAACCAGACCAGCCAGGGAGGGAGCTGGTTTTGAGCTGTTAAGATCCAAGTGCGAATGAATCTGGGACTTGGTTTTGCCTTTCCCTCTCTAGACTTATACCCCAAGATGTGCTGTGTCAGGGGCCCTGGCTGTGGCTGCCTGGGTTCCACATCAGAAGGGAAGGCTCTTCCACTAAGGAAAGCCCAGCAAAGATGTGGGTCGGCTTAGGCCATCCCGGTCCAGGCATCATGAACCATCTAGGGTCACCTCTCCATTGGGGCAGCACTAGCATCAGGGGAGGGATGCTAAGCAGACAGGAACTAATGGTCCCTGGGCCCAGAGTAGCAGCAACAGTAGAACCCAGCCATGGCATTGGGCCCTCTGGTGTCAGAACAGTCAGGCTCTGAGAAGAGGTCACTGCCTCCTCCTGCCTCACTCACACCTGTTAAGATCCTGTTATTTCTTGGCAATTGGGATGTCCCCAGCTTCTAATAATCATTTATTAAGTAGTAATGTGTACATGTGAATGATTCACATAATATAAAAATCATGCAGTAAAAGTGAACTTGCTTCTGTCTGGCCCACCAATGTTCGATGCTGGCTTCCTGGGCCCTCCCAGGAGCTGCAGGCCAGGTGCACTGGTTGGTAGCACAGCCACTGGTGCCTAAGTTCAAGGCATGGCACCCTCTCCACAACTGTACCTCAGTTTCCCTTGGCAAGGGATAGTATTAGCTATCCTTCATTACCAGTATAAAAGCATTTGTATAAGATATCTCCCCATATACATTTTGTAATTTTAAAACATTCCAGGACTGGGAATTTAGCTGAGCAGCATACCGCCTGCCTGTCAAGTGCAAAGTCCTGAGTTCATCCTTGGTACAAAAAAAAAAAAAAAAATTCTAAACACAAAATTTGAAACAGGAAATTATATGATAGTAACTGAAGACATCATCCAGAATTTACAAATGCTGATATTTTGTGGTGTTAGATTTAGATCTATTTTTAAGGAAGAAATCCTTGTAGTTACTGCTTAATCCCCTTTCCACCCCACCCTTTTATATTTACTCAAGGAGCAGCATAGTATTCATACTTGCACCCTTTTTCTGTGCGACCTAATATATCTGGAGCTCTTACCCCTTGGTCACTGAGCTCTGCCCCTTTCTCCTAACAGCTGTTCTGCCTTCTCTTACTTAGAGGCATTGACCCCTCCTGCAGGCCTGTGAGTCATTTCCCATCCTGGGCTCTGACAGACACTGTTTTTGAGGGCCCTCGTAGACAGCTTGTCCCCATGTCCACCGGCAGGAGCACCAGTGACAGAAGGTGTCGACACAACTGCTGCGTTCAAGAGCAAGTGTGATGTCAGTTTTGATGCTATTGTAAATGGCCTCTGGAAGTGGTTATATGAAATAATTAGAAATCAGAGGAAGAAAGAAAACAGAAGGGAGGAAGGGGAGGAAGGAAAAGGAGGGGAGGGAAAGGAAAGGAGAAGGGGTAGCCATGTGAGGTTTTGAGCACATGCTCCTGCAGGCTGCCATGGGTGAGAGGTACAGTCTTGTTTGCAAAGCTGACCCCATTCCAGAGGACGGCTGCTGTTTCTGGGCCCCGAGTTCAGCATGGGGGTCCCTGGGGCCTGGAGAAGTTGTAGGGAGAAGGACTTGTGGCTTTGCTGGCTGCGGGGACACGGGCACATGGCATTAGCTGGCCGGCTGCAGGACGGCCCATCTCTGCTGATGTGTCACTGCGTGCTGAGGACACTTGGTGTGCTTGGAAACCCTCAGCACCCGGGGCCTGCTCTCCTCTCCCGGAGGGTACAGGGGGTCATGGAGCCAAGGGGGCTGGTGTACAACATGCCAGTTACACTTTTCAGCAAAGCAAACAGTCAGGAGGTTTGTGTTTGTTTGTTTTTGGTTTCTCTCAGCAGTCAGATCCCAAATCATTACTGGGCCAGAGGGAAGGCAGTCTCAGAGGTGGGAGGAGGGTGGGGGCACCTGCACCGCAACACTGGATCTATCCGGAGCCACACTAATGACCCAGCTGCTGTGAGGCCTGTCAGCACTCTGGGGCCCTAAAATGTGCTCAGAGCTGTTGGGCCGAGACCGCCTACCCAACTCCCTTAGCTCCTCCTGGAAGATAGGGCTTCTGGCCACGCAGCAGACATCAGGGAGTTGTGTGCCCCCAGACCCCCAGATAGCTTGCTGTCTGTCCAGCCTCATCCAGCCCTCCTGCCCCTGCCTCCACTCCCCCAGACACATGCAGGGCTTCGTTTTATATAGTGGATACAGATGGTTCAGTTGCCAGCTTTATTGACTTCTAAAAGCCATGCCAGGCCCTCTCTCCGAGGCATGAAACTGTCACGTCCCACAGTCTCACTCTTTGCTGGGGGCTCCAGTCTGGTTCTTGGTCTCATCATTCCCACAGCAGCAGACCTTTGAACCTAAGCCCTCTTCTTGGGGCTGCCACCTCTGGGTGACTTTCCTGATAGCAGAGGGCTTCCTCCAGCATGAGGAGGGGTGTGAATGTGATGCCCTCTTGGCAGCGGAAGTCCTGCAGAGTGGCTGGCAGAGCCTGGCCTTGATGCCTATCCCCAGCTTGCTAGCTGTGTAGACAGGGCCCTCTTCCCCACTCCCCGTCTTCTCCTACACAGTACAGCGACCCTAGTACCATTAACCCATGGGCCTGGCAGAAGCAAGGGGATCCCTACTCAATCTCCAGGCAAGGCTTTGGCCCAGGTCAGCCTGTTGGCAGGGTTCGAGGTAGGCACAGGACGATGCTCACACAGGGATTCAATATCCTGCAAGAACAGGGCTCAGAATCACCTGGGGAGGAGTTCTCAAAGACACATACCTGGGTCCCACCTCTGATGATGTTAATTCGCAGATCTAGGGTGTGGCCTAGGTGTTGCGATGTTTCAGGCTCCCAGATGACTATAGTCTGAGACACTAAAGTCTTGTGTTTCCCCAGATGATCTTGGAGTACCCTTGGAGGGACCTGTCTCACTTCAGGGTCTGTGGGAGTCTGTGAGGTTGTAGTGGGATTAGGTGGGTCTAGGGTGGGGTGCAGGGACCAGTGCTTTTGATTCACTCCCCACCCCTAGAAAAAGCTGCTGCAGTTGAGCCCAGAGACCGAACATGGTCTGGGGACCCATGGGCTTGCACCTTGGCGCAAACAGGGTGGTGGCCCAGAGGCTGCCTCAAGGAGGGTGAGCACTAAAGTACAGGAAGCAGACTCCCTACCCCTCCCAAAATCTAAATACTCCAGGGATGTGGAGCAGTGGCCATACCGTCAGAGGACAGGACTAGAGGATTCGATAACACCCCTTCTCCCTTACCATAAAGCCACAGGCCTCCAGAAGAGCCAGATTCAGTGAGACTGGGTATCCTCCAGCTAAGGGGGATCCAAGTGAGCCCTGCTGCCAGGACCACACAGCGACTGCCCTCCCATGGCTGAAGATTGAGATCTGGCACTGGGGAGATAGGAGCAAACTTGAAAACCTCCTTCCCTAACCTTCGCATGTCCTCAGGGCCCTGAGCCAAGGCCAGCCTTGGGAAGTGAGCTGAAAGCAGCCACCAGTGGTCCTGCCTTGCTGCGGACCCAGCGTGGCTCCAAGCTTGTGGAGTCTTGCACTGCCACCACAAGGGGCTGCTGTGCAGTTGTGTCTGAGGGCTCTTCCTCAGCTCCCCATCAGCAGGGAGAGGTATGTGAGGAGGGCATTAGAGTCTTAGGAGAAGGACTAGGGTACAAGGTTCCTTGAGGAACTGCCAGGGCCTGAGAATAAGCCCGGAGAAAGAGAAGTCTAGGACACCCTGGCTGTCACTCAGGCCTCAGGGTGACAAACAGAAAAGGACCAAGGCCTTAAAGTCCCCACAGCATGGAAAGAATTATCCCTCCCCCATCTGAACTCTGATTTCCACCTGCACCATCAAAGCTACTCTTTTCTAGGTATTTCTGATGGCAGACATCTGAATGCCTCCACCGAAGCTGGAGATTTGCTATTCCTTTTCCAACAAGCCCTCACTTCCCAGAGCTGCCCTAGCTGGTGTCCAGGCAGAGGGGCAGCAGGCAGCAGCAGGACTGGATCCCTGGTTCTGGGGTTGCCTTTCTCCTGGTCTGCCAGGTCCCTGTAGGCGGGGGCTTCTGAGGCAGTGCTATTCCTTAGAGCATGGCGCATGGCAGGTGGTTAATAAATGGAAGCAAGGAGAAGGCAGGTGGGGGGGTGGAAGAGTTGAAACCCCTGACTGTCTGTGCGTGGCATTCTTCTACCTGTGTGTCCTTGACTTTGGGGTTTTCCAAAGCAGGAACATTTCAAATAAAAGTTTGGGGAAGCAGCACAACATTGCCAAGCTTTAATTTTGCTAAATAAGCATGTTAACAAAAAAGAAGAAGGAAAGAAATCCTGTAGTCTGGTATTATTTAGATTTTTTTTTTAAAGGAAGGACATAATATAGCTTTATTTAAAAAGAAAGTATCTTCATTTTTTTTTTAGGTTTCTCCCCCAAGAAACCAATGAAAACTTTGATCAAATGTTCATTGTGGCTTTGAACAGCTGATTGTGGGAGGGCAAGAATTCCTCCCATTGTAGAGAGAGGAGAACTAAGACCGGGTGGGGGGTGTGGTCCGGATGGACCCTTGTCCTGAAGCTGTGCCCAGACCAGCTCACAGTCCTCTTTCCAGCCTGAGGCCTCTGCTGCTGCCAAAGGCTATCTGAGAATCCCCAGCCTCGACCGTCATGCCAGCCCAGTGGTGCCCGGCGTCTTATGTCTCGGTGCACAGCACAGGGCAAGTCCTGCCTGGGGCCACAGCCTCTGAGAAGCTGTGGGGTCTGCGACTCCGTCCCTCCTCACCCTTCCTGCTCCTGGCCATGCCTAGCCTCTGGGAGGCGGACCATACCTCCATGCCAGTGCCATACCAGGCCTTACCCACTGAGTAATGTTTGTCTGACCCATTGTTGTTTCCGTCATTTTGAATGAATTGCCAAAATCTGGAGGTTTTGCCTAAAAATCTAGATTTGGGACTTTTTGTATAAAACCTGAAAATGATACCACATTTTCTGATCAGGCTCACATTTCCACACAGCAGCAATCTGCCAGAGCTGAGGAATGCCCACCCCTTTGGATGGTACACACCCCTTCTACCTGTCCCCATGCCTGCCTGGCCTGACAGCCCGTGACCCCAGCCTCCCTCCCTCCCTCACCCTGGTGGTCAGCTGTGCCAGTTGAAAAAGGCCTGTTGAGGGAAACTTTCAGAGAGAAGGGCTAATGGGATTTGCAGGTATAGGAGACCGGTGGGGGCAGCCTGGAGACCCTGGCTTACAGCATATCACCCCTTCTGCCCCACACTACACCAAGTGCCAAAGTGGGTAGACTGAGCTCCAGCTCCAGAGACCAGCTGCAGTGGCCCCACCTGTCAGCCTGGGTTTGCTTTTCTGTGAAACGGGCCTAAGGAGGGCTGTGTGGTTTCAGCGAGGCAAGAAATGGGAGAGGAAGATCTTACACTTGGAGCTCTGAATGAAAGACACCACCCCCAGCTCTCTTGGAGTTGGGAGTAGAAAGGCTGCCAATCTGGAGGGTTCAGTAGGGCACCCAGCACTGCCCTATTTAGCCTGGGCACTGGCTATAGCTCCTGCAGGCACAGGAGGATGCACTTTAAATTCTCTGGAGCTACTATCTCAGATCCTACACATCTGGATGGGTGGACAGAGCTTCAGAAGGTGACAGGAGCCAGGAGCCAGACCATAGTATGCAGGCTTGGGCCTCGATCAGAGTGGGCGGAGTGGCCCATGGTTAACAGTAGGGACTTTCAACTCTAGTTCTGCTATTACCAGCTGTGAGCTATTGGATGTGGGGC